TGTTCATTTATATTTGTATTTATTATTCATCAAAGTGCTCTGATATTTAAAGCTCAATTTCAAGGAAGGAAGGCTAATGATAAATGCATCAAAGTAGAACTCTGGACCTGTTCTAAGAGCAGGTATTTACGGCCTCAGGTTTCTCAGGTTCTTTTTGGAACTCAGTTTCCAGGTTCCTTCCGTCGTAGTCAATTAAGCAGGTGACACTGTTCCCTCTTAAATCTGATTTTGATTTCAAGGCTCTGTATATTAATGCTATTTATCTTATCTGTCATCCTTCCTAAAATTAATGGATTGGGTCAGTTATAGTTCACATGTAAACTAAACACTTTACAATATAAAGAGCAAGATTTTCAAAGTCATCTGAACAATTTGTATTTGTGGTTGTCAATCTTTTATAATTCATTGTAAGCTAAAATGATAAAGTTAGGGGAAATTGAACTGAAAATCTTTGTCTTAAAGTCCAGATCAGCTACACTATGGTGTGTAAACTCAGATGTTTGTTCCAAAGCAAAACATGGTAGAGTGGATGAACCTACCAAATATAATTATTGCAAATAATACTACCTTTACAACATTTAAAGAAAAACGCAGGATTGTTTGGCATATGCTGTGTAAGACAAAGCAACTTTAGCCATATCTCTAATGTTTGTCAGATCATAAGACCCATCTCCAGGGCAGGAGAGTATTTTGGTCTCCAAGCTTATACAGTCTTTGGAGACTGATAGCACTTTCATTTAACAGAAATAGCAATAGCAGATACTTGCCTGCTGAGAACTGGAACTAAAGGCCCATTACATGTTATACAGGCAACAGTAGAATGGTAACAACCTTGTGATCCAAACATGAAAACACTCAAATGCATGTATTGTTAACTTTACTCAAGCAAAAAAGGAAGTTAGCCAAGTTAGTATGAATTTAGGGAGAAGGCAGGGTAAGGTGGCACCTTATAGGCAAACATATTTTGTGTTTTGTATGCTCTTTCTCTCTCTCTCTTTCTCACTACACACACACACGTACACTGACAGATTTGAAAACAACCATTTCTTTCTTCTATGAAACTATTACAACATTTATAAAATATGCTAAGTGATCCTTGTTAGTTTTATTGTGTCAAAGCCAATTTAAACAGGTCTTGGCCTATATTTGGCTTAATGCAGTTTAATAAATTCAATGTTGAGAGTAGCTATCTTTAGATTCAGTTCCTACTGGTTCTCTTTATAACTCAGATTTCAATAGCTTCAAGTTGCAAATGCCTAACAAATCTGTTGAAAAGCACTAAACAAAAGTGGCATATTTTTCTTTTCAACCTGGAAAGTAACTCACATTAAGGGCTTTGACTCTGCATTGTTCTTTTTAAAATAGAAAGACATTACTGAGCTGTAGGAGTTTGAAATAAATAAAAGCACCTTTAATCACTTACTTCTTTAAACTTCTGGTACTCATGCACAAAGCTCTTAATACTGGATCAGTGTGTGCCATTTCAACCAATTGTGGATTTTGTTACGATTAAACCATAAACCTTTGAAAGTAAGGATTTGTCATGGAAATGCTGACACAACCTTAACTGAAGTAGGGTGAACAGCATCACTAGGCTATCCATACCATTGAAGCACAGCCTCAACTGGCACCGATCAGTATACACAGTGATGACAAAAGGGAAGCCAGGCGCCTGAAAATTCTCCCAAAGAATTTGAAAAGCCAGCATGAATTGTGAATGACTTACATGTTTTTGTTTGTGTCTGCCTCACACAGCATGTCATGCTATTCATTTTGGGTTAAGCTTTTTGCGCTGTCTAATAAGTGGCCCTTGTACAAAAAACGTGATCTGTGCTTTTCCAGATATTTGTATGTCAGGCAGCTACACAGCAGCAACTTCTGTAATCCCTTCTCTTGCAGTTAGAGCTACTAGAAAGGCTTAATAATATCCCAGAGGCAAAGATGAAACAGTATCTCCACAGCTACTGTTTGCTGTAGAGAGCTTTTGAAGTCAAGCTTAAGATGTCTTTATTTCCCTACCAGAAAGAATTTTTTTGCCCTCCTTTACTCCAGTGTTGTCATGATGACAGCTTTCTGCTTGAAAAATATTCCAAGAAGCTTCAGCGCTCCCATAAAGCATTAGGGAATGAGAAAGGCTTTTCATCAGGGGCTGCTGGAATCTATGTGTAAGTACAGTTTGTCACTGTGCCACACACAGCCACACTCACCGCAATCTCAATTTAAAAACCTACTCTTTCTTCTTTAGCTGGTTTAGAGCAGCTACGGCTTTCACTGGAAGCTTACTTCTGACCATCTCCTGGCTTTTAACTTTCATTTCTAATTAAATCTAAACTGAGTTCATTATATCACTGTATTTGGAGCTCATTTTTCTTTGGAGTAAGAAAGCAAAATGTAATGAAATAGCTTTATCTGTCCATACCTTCATGGAGCATGAATCTAGCTAAATAAAGGAAAGGGACAAATTATCATCATAGGACCTAAATATCAAGTGGATTCCACTGTGCTAAGTACTGGACGAACATGAAAGAAAAGGCAGCTCTTGCCCCAGTAAGCTTACAATCTGAGAGTATAAAACAGGAGATAATAGATGGATATAGAGATAGTTAGAGGAGTACAAGGAAGTGATGGGACAAGATTGATTAACATGAAAGATACTAGCCCCTCTGCTCCAGTAGATTATTTTTTTTTATAAGCATGAGTTCAATGAGAAGTTCTAAGGAAAGTGAAGGAGGTTAACAAAATAGCTTAACTGGTGGTTATGGGTGCCTACTCCCTAGTATGAATAGCAGAAAGGAAGAAAACATGAAGATGCTTGTTTGAGAATATAATTGTATAATAAATCCTGGTGCCATAATCTGAGTCTTAATAGTGAATGAGAGCTGATAGAGTATGAAATGGCTGCAAATGACACTGGAAGAGAAGACAAGCAGGCTATATTTCAGGTAACAGAGAAGAGGGAGCCAGCAGAAGAAATCAAGAGAGGGGTAACATGGTAAAAGCAACAATCTAGAAAAAATGATCCTTGCAGCAATCAAAGCAGACTGGAATGAGAAGAGCAGAATTTGCCAACACTAAAGAAAAAAAGAACATTTCAATAATCAGACCCAAGGTTGGATGGAAGCCTGGAGAAGAGTTTCAATATGCAGCAGGATAGGAAAGGTGGTATCTTATGGATGTCATGTAGAAAAAACCTGAAAGGTTGAGATATAGCTTGGATGTGAGGACCGAGAGAGCTCAAGACAACACCAGGTTTATAAGCCTGAGAGAGACAGGCCAAATGATGTTGTCTATAGTAATGAGGGAAAAAAGGTAGTGAAGAGGGCTTGAGGAAGGAAGGAATTAGAGCCCTTTTTTACCCACATTAAAACAAGTGGAGTCATATTCGTCATGGGGTAAATTCAACAAGGGCATTCACCAAAAGACTTAATTGAAACAATTATAAAAGAAGTCAACAGAGAACCTTCATAGCTCCCCTTCATTGCTCCATTCTGATGGGTGTTTGTATGGAAGAGTAAGAATACAGGAAAAATTGGCAATACTTCTGAAAACATGACTACTACATGTTCTGGAGCTTATCCACACGCAGAACTACTTGAGGCTATTGTATAAGGAGCAGCATGGGCAACCACCCCCCCCCCCCCCATATAGTTACATTCATTTAGAAGCAATATGCCTAGAATATTACCATCATAGCCCCACTGAAAATAAAGAATGCAAGCTAATTTATACCAACTAAGGGCCCATTCCACTGTGAGTAGGTTTATATATTTATGTAATTATTTGTACATTGTTTAGTGCAGAAATAGTTACTGCAAGGGCAGGCAGTGAAGTGAATATTCCTTAGAACATGTATCTACTTTCGAGGGACTCCCTGGTAATAACAGATAGGTCAAAAGTCCAGCAAAGCACAATGCAGTCCATATGCTTCCCAAAATAAAATCTTAAAAATTATTGATATCACCTTGCTACTTTGTGCATGCAAGCCAGATAATTAACTGTGATGTGCCTCTATCTCAGTTGGGGCTAAATAAAACGAAGGATTTGATATATCATCATTAGTAAGTGATTAACCTGTTAAAACTATGTCATGCCCCTGTAATTCACAAGCTAAGGGGAGCCTGTATTTAGATATCTAGTCCTTCTAAAGCAACAGGGGTCAGTTGCCTCTGCAGTGAGAATCCTCCTCCCTTTTCCCCTGCCGCTATACACATAGGGGAGAATGTGATCCAGGGGTGGAAAGCAATCAGAAAACCTGGGCTGACTAGGGCTTCTCTTGAACCTGCCAGTATCCCGCAAAAATGTAACTGGGGCTAGAGGGAGAATTGAACACACACCACCAGTCAGACATGCAAATGAAGAAAATAGTTTTAACAGGTCCCTTGGGTCTAATCTCCAAGGAAGCTGAATATGAAGGGGAGAAGAGCCTTGTTGAAAAATGAAGTGCCTTTATATGTTTGACCCCAGGCTCTCCCCACACCCCCTCAAAAAAAAAAAAGTTTGATGCTAAGTTCGTTCATGGAACAACAGGCAAAATGCCCTTTCCCCTTCCCCCATTCACAAAAGAAAGCTAAGCAAACTCAGAGGTATAGGTTGTACCTGTGTTGGTCTAAGGACACAGGTAGACGAGGTTCTTGGTCTAATACAAGATACCAGATTTTATCCAAAGAACCTTGTCTGCCTAAGTAAACTTAGGCAGACAAGGTTCCTTGGGTGAATTTGATATCTTTTATTAGACCAACCCAAATGGTTGGAGAATAGTTATTAAGCAAGCTTTCGGGTTCAAAAACCCTTCGTCAGGCTCAGGAAGCTGCAGCAGTTGGCGTGTGCTCTTCCTGGATGGAATGAAAAGTAAAGAAGCCAGGGGCTGGGCTGGGCTGGGGAGTCAGTTGCCAGGCAGATTGTAATGTATCAAAAATCCAATGTCTATGTTTAGTACCTGATCTCTAGTATCCAGCAGGTTGATGAAATGGAGCTCATAGGCTCGTCTCTGGGATCTCTTCTCAGTCTTCCATTTTTACATGCAGTCCCCATTGTTCCTTAAATTTTTGGAGGTATATTTCTTGGTCCTCTGAGGGCTCATCAGATACCTGCCTCTCATACAGTCTGGACAAAAGCCCCTCTTTTGCTGGATCATCACACTTTTCATGTTCAAATATTTCTTCACAAGCATCACTTTCAAAATTGGACAAACTAGATATATACAGTTTTCCAGTATGAGGATCCCAGTCTACTAATATAGTCTGTTCATCTTCCTTTTTTACATCCTCTATCACCATTGGGTCCTGGGGGCCCTGGCTTATTGTACTTAAGTGAGGAAATGGTAATTGTCCTGATTTTTCAGTGCCCAAGTTTAGCAGCTCAGTTGCTGTCTCAGGGGATAGCTCCTCTGGTGTATTACATTTGAGTTCTTTTAATATCTGCACTGAACAAGTGTCTGTAGTCCTTTCATTAAGTTGGGGACAGTATGGCAGTTTTATTTTATCAAGGTCCAAGTCATCCAATGTAATCTGGGGCTTATTTAGCAGTTCCCCTAGTGCAGAAGATTTCACTTTCACACTGAGATCCTCCAGTTTCTGCATAGAAAAGAGGTCAGCAGGCCTCACATCACATTCATATTCTATGACCTCTTCATTTCTTTGACCCAAAGTACGAAATCCATCAAAGACAGAAACACCCAATTACCTGTGGGGGCACATTTCTCACAGGAGGGCCACTCTCTCTCCAATCTCTCAGTCCTGATCCTCAAGGGAAACTTACACAACACATCCCAGAGACGAGCCTGTGAGCTCCATTTCATCAACCTGCTGGATACTAGAGATCAGGGACTAAACATAGACATTGGATTTTTGATACATTACAATCTGCCTGGCAACTGACTCCCCAGCCCAGCCCAGCCCCTGGCTTCTTTACTTTTCATTCCATCCAGGAAGAGCACACGCCAACTGCTGCAGCTTCCTGAGCCTGACGAAGGGTTTTTGAACCCGAAAGCTTGCTTAATAACTATTCTCCAACCATTTGGGTTGGTCTAATAAAAGATATCAAATTCACCCAAGGAACCTTGTCTGCCTATATCCTTAGACCAACACGGCTACAACCTAAACCCCTGCAATAAGTAAACTTAGACACTTATATAGTGTTTCCTCAGCACTAACTGGGTATTTCTATGAGGCTACAACATGTTTCTGAGCGAAGACTGAATTATTTGGTTTCACAGTGGGTTAGATTTTGATTGGTCTCTATATAGTGCAGAAAATGTAGGGAAGATGCAGGAACCCTGCAGAGAGGTGACTAAAGGCTTATTGGTGAGCTCCCTTGTATGAACTGGAAAGGGATAGATTTAAAAATCAATATATTTCTTTCACATGAATGATCTTTGCAAGCTGGATATAGAATAGCAACCCTATGCTTTTGACCTATGCTGAAAGGCTACCAGTTCTGCAACCTTCCAATGACAGCATAGCTGCTCTGCACTAAATTGTGCATTAGAGCACCAGGACACAAGGCAGACTATATTAAAACGAGTCTATGTGTACCCTGAAGCACATTGGAATTGGAAGCTATGTCAGTGTTCCCTGATTTCTATGCAACAGCAATTCGATGGCACACTGACATTTCTGCAAAAGCAACAAGAAAATGTAAAACAAGTTTTATTGAATAAAATATGAAAATGGACACCACATTCATGATGGCTGCCTGTATTGCTTTAATTTAATTTGTCATGGATGTTTTTTTTTCATTTTACACAGCTCCTAGTCCTGGCAATTTGCCGTGGAATTTTTCATTGGCAGACAAAAGTTGGGTGATTTTTTTTCAACAAATAAATTTGCCCACAATGAGGATGACTGAAACTATTAATAAATTTAGGGCATATTTGAAAAATAGTTTGCTTCCCATCTTTGTCCCCCCACCCCCAAACCTTCTCCAAAAAAGAGAGATTTAAGAAAACATCCCAACATGTCACTACAGGGCTTTTATTTTTATTATTTTTGCCATTTCTAGTTTTAAATGTCCTTAAAATTAATTAACTTTTTAAAAGAGGATTGTTTAATCCTTTTGAAAAACTATATATATTAAAAATTTAATCTGGCAGTAAATGAAACATTTCAGGTTAAACAAAAATGATTTTTTTCGGCGTTGTTTAACCAGATTTGGGCTTTTTCCCCCCTATTCAGTCACTAAAATGAACAACAATGACAACAAAAAGAAGCTAGTTAACTTACACAGATGGGTTGGTACATAAACATAATTAGGTACATTTGATAGGAAGGGAGGATAAGGCAATATTCAGAAGCCATTCCCGGCTTTGGCTACTGGGCAGGGAATATATCTTACCCTATGTATAGTGCGTCTGGTCAGTAAAATTACTTTTTTTTTCCCCCGTGGATATATCCCATTAACATTCACCTACTTTTTTTCAGTATTATGCTTTGCTTCCAACAATGACAGAAATGCATTGGTAGGGTCATGTTACAGACATTTTTTATCATCAGGTTTGAGCAGTGAGCACCAACACAGCATAGTAAAAAAAAGGGCGGGCGGAGAGAAATTCCCAAGGATAGCAGACAAACAATTAGCAGAAGAGAAAGAGGCTGATTACTGGGAGATCAAGGTCTATACATTAACATAATGTTTCTATTGAAATGTAATGTTATGCAAATATTAAAGAAAAGTCTATATATCTCCAGGATTCTCTGATCTCAGTCATCAGAGAATGGCATTATTAGTGTGCTGGGGGTATTAGAAATATGTTTGCAGATAGGCAGGAAAATGGCTGTATAGAAATAGATACTAATGGAACATATATTCAGTCTACCTGCCTGCTGTCTAAGCTCTGTTCAGAGTTGCTAATCCTTTCTCTTCAGGGCTCCTAATCTACCCCAACTGGATTCTAACAATCTTGCCAACTACACATAGCATCCTGATGACTTGTCCTGCTGCTGCTATCTGCAGCAGTAGGTATCCACCTGCCAGCCTTGCTAAAGGGCTCCAGGCTTTCCTTTGCAGACAGCAGCCCTTCATTGTCCCTATCTCTTTGATGCTCTTTTTTCCAGGCTCTGCTTCAATAAAGCTTTGCTTGTCTCTCTTTCTCTGATTCACAATAGGCAGCTTAGCAATGTGCACAGCATGAATGCCCCTTTCATAAATACTGTGCCAGTTGGCCCATCCCATGCCTTCAGATTGGAAGGCTCTCAGCATTCTGGCTGCTAATCTACCAGCGGCTTTTTGATAGAGAGAGACACCACCATACTGCTCTATTGGTACATAAATATCATAAAGCAATATTCAGCATTCGAAGTCACATCTTTATCATGACACATGGCAATGACATTTTTGGTTGCATAAGAAGGTAAAAGAGATGCCAGTAATACCTTCAGTTACAAAAATCTTTTTGCTGATGATAACAAATATTCATTTAGATGCTCAAATGCTATTTTTATGTACGATCCTAATAGGAATTGGTTAATCACGATCAAATTTCTAGAGTATATTATTGGGGATTGGAGAGAAAAATGAGAAGCCAGAAGTACAGCATGTGGGTTCTTTTAAAAAGTCTTTAGATTTCTGGCATCTACAGTACTTTTTTTAGCAGATGATACAAAACTCAGTAAACTGTCGTGTTACTACCATTTGCGGGAACACACTATTGACTTCAACTTCAGGAAACCTATGTGGTGTTTCTTTTTAATTTCATTTTCCTATTCCTCGCTTAAAAATTCTCCCTGATTGAGATATTACCTATCATTTTGAGTGGTGTTAACTTAATTATTTCTTATCTATGGAGGATTTAAACATGCTGGGGTAGCTCACATAAATTATTAAATAAAAGAGAAAATGATCTGTAGATAGGGACGTACTCTTAGTTTGAAGTAATTTTTTTATATATATAATCCTGCCCTGAACTTCATCTTTCTTTTTCCCCCTAGACTTTAAAAAAGAAGTGATTCCTACCTGCAAATTACTTCTAGATAAATCAGAGATCAAAATAGAAGGACAAGAACTGTATTATTAATACTGTGCTTCATTAACTAAAGCCTTGCTTGTCAACACCTTTCAGATTTCTAACACTTCTCTCTCAAGCATGGTAGGCAATATAGAAATGTCAGACTATCATAGCAGCTTTGAATACAATGTCTGTGAGTAAACAAAAACTTTAAGTACTCATTGAGACTTTAAGAAAACATAAGGATAAACAGATCAAGAAAATTCTCTTCTAAAATAAATATCACATAATTCTATCTTTCTTATCAAATCATCTTAGCCTTCCCATCCAATGGCACAGTATTATAAAGGCTTACTTAATGGAAATAAAAAAGGATGCATTATATATGTGTATGTATATATGTCTGTGCATGCGTGTGCATGTGTTGGTGTTGCTTCTCGGCCTTTTGAAGGCTCAGATCAAGTCTAGTCTAGTCTAGTCTAGTATACTATATATCCCATACTTATACTATTCTATACAAACACACACACACACACACATTATATATATATAATATAGATATATATACACATGTCTATATAATATAGACATATATAGTATAAGTATATATATATGTATATAAATATGAATAATGTACCATTTTGGATTTGTGTCCCATACTATGCTACGGTATGCTATACCATGCTATGCTATACTGTTTAATTTGGGCCCAGATAGATTGGATTGGGGCATGACTTTTTTGGCCCACCTTTTTGGGGGCCTTCCTTAAGAGAGGCTAGCAGGCTACCCTTGAATGGAGCTGCTTGGACATCTCAATTACTCTCTCAGGTTCCTTATCCCCCTTACAGAGTTCTGTGACCATCTCACTGAGGCCTGCAACATATGCGCCTAGGCAAAAGTATGGAGGAGTGGAAGTTACCCTAGAACTACCATCCCCACTTTAGACCACTGAGACAGAGTTCAAAGGACAGACCAAGTACAGACATTCAGTGCCTTAATGGCTGTAGCTTCTGCCAGTGAGCAACAAATAAGAACTACTGCTGACTGCCTAACATCTCAGTAAGGGCATATTTCTGACAGGGTGATGTCCCTTAGCTTTACTCCAATCAAGGATACCCATAAGGCAATGGGGGCTAGGCTTTCAAGGCACCCTATACTTGCCTTACTGTGGAGGTTGCAACATTGTGGTATTTTATAGAAGTTCATAGAAGTTACCCCCCCACAAGTAACTCAGCCATGTTGCCACCAGGCCCACCCATTAGATGCAGTTTATGGTCATACCCAGGACCAACTATAGTGTGTGTGTGTGTGTGTGTGTGTGTGTGTGTGTGTGTGTAGAGAGAGAAGCCTTCACCGCAAGAAAATATATAGCCAGTACAGATAATATATTTATTTTCTTGATGTGACGATTCTCTCTTTTTGTAAGTTCTTTTGACTCCTGGGTTTACTAATGGATTGGCCTTTTAGCAGGTAAGTTAGTAGGTGCAGTGTATTATAACTCCCAATAGCTATTGGTGCTATCTGCAGCATCAAGAAACTTTTGAACAGATGTTCAATACCCAAACATAATGACCACAGGGGAAGCATGCTAACTGTCTGCAAGTACATAAAGTAATATTAAAAAAAGACAAATACCTTTCTCATTAGCCATCAAGGACAGAGCAAGAAGTAATGGGTCTAAGTGCTCACC